CCCCAAAATTGTCCAGTCCTCCCCTTCGGTATCCCTTCTCAAACCCGTCTCTTCAACCTGTGGCTTAATTTTGTTTTTCTTTGAAGTACATTTCTCCACCTGCAACTTTTTTTGTACCAGGGTCAAACTTGGGTCCTTGCGCTTGCGCAGCAGGCGCCGAAACCACTGAGCTAAACCCCCAGGCCACCTGCACTTTTTAAATATTTGTGCACTTGTTTATGGTCTGTCTTGCACACACTCATCTGAGCTCTTTGGAAATACATCTGCTTTTTATTATTCATTGCACTCTCCCCAGAGCATAAAACCATGCATAACACTTAGTAAAAATTCAATAAATATGGGTTGAAAAAAAGTGTATGAATGAATGAATGAATGAATGGCAAAAAGCAGAGGTAGACAACGACATAGATATTACTTCACAAATCACTTCCTAAAAGGGCAAAGTAGAAGGATTTACTTGAAACACAACAGAAAACCAGGTTTTTAACCAATGAGGAGATGCATGCTTAAAGATTTTTCTTTATATTACAGCTTTAAAGAAAGTATTTGCTGAAAATAAGGATATCCAGAAATTGGCAGAACAGTTTGTCCTTCTCAATCTAGTCGTAAGTTTATATTTTTTTCATCATCACTAACATTTCACCGCAAATTCATTCAGTGAAATGGATGATTCCAGTTTTTTCTGCATCTTAGTTATACTGAATTAACTGGAACATCTTCCAAATGTCCCATCTCACAGATTGGAAACAAGGAGATATTTCATCTTTTAATGCTCTATGTGGCCTATGCTTTTATTTAGTAGTTAATAACCTCAGCTTGGCCCTGTGGTCAGCATCATCTCTGCTGCAACTGGAAGATTCATGTATTTGCAAATTATTTCCTGTGTCATTTCCCTACACCCCTGGCCTAATCCCTGCCCTTCGCTCCCTGAAAGGGCCACTTCCTGGCTATCCCAATCCAATCCTGCCTCCAGGCTTCACCCTCATGTACCCTGCCCTCCTTCCCCAGCCCACCTCTCCTGGCTTCAAGCCTTCTTTCTGCACATTCTTTCCACTCAGTATACAGCTGGGGTCCATTTTCCTTCTAAAGTGAACAAAAATTGACTCGGCCTAACCATGTCCCTCTAAGCCTCTCTCTTCCTCACCCGAGGCTGGCTTCTTCAGAAAACGACCCACACCCACCATTCCTTCTTTCCTCCCTTCCTCTTTCTACCCCTCAGTGTCAGGGACTCGAGACATCTCTACTTGACCCACTTTTCGTCTTTCACATTCTCCACGGACATCATCTACACCTGCTTAGATTCTGGCATGCTAATTTCCACCTCTCAGTGGCAACATCTGGCAACTTGTCTATCCAGCCATCCTACACCATCTTATAATTAGCTTGAATGCAGCGTGTCCCACACTGAATTAATCAACTTGGGCTTTTTTTGTGTTTTTTTTCATATAGCTCATCTTTATTCTCTATATCACTGGATGTTCTCACTTCTTTTTTTTTTTTTTACCCCAGTTCTGAGAATTGAACCTGGGGCCTTTGCACTGAGCTGCAACCCCAGCCCTTTTTCTGAGACAGTCTCCGCTAAGTTGCCCAGTCTGGGTTTGAACTTGCAATCCTCCTGCCTCAGCCTCCCAGGATATTATTGTAACTTCTTCATAAACTCACAACCATAAAGTGTATACCTCTTTCACTCCACCTAGCTTACTACAATATTACCAAATGACTTTCTGCCTATATGAAAACCCATCTAATTCCACATGGCTGTCAGGGTAACTGCTCAAAAGACCAAATCATCGGGTTCATGGCACCTCTTCTGATCTCTCCCTAGTGGTTTTTAGCTATTTCTGAACGATGATGCACAAAGCCACGCACGAGCGGAGCCCTGCAGCATCCTGGGCAGTGTCTTCTCGCCAGCACCTTCCTGCCTCCCAATACAGTCCTTCCCCAGGCCTGGCGAGAGGGAAGCTCCATGCCCTCCATCCTCCTAACTTTGCGTCTGCTCTTCCCCTGCACAGGATGCCTTCCTTTCCATACCTGGCTCCTGTTCATTCCTTAAGCTCCTTCCTTACCCGCTTGAGAAAATCTTAGGGACACCTGCAGACAGTAAGTCCCCGACTTACAACCATTTGAGTTTTGAACTTTTGCAGATAAGAACGGACCTCGCATTTAGTTTTTTTAATGCTTTACACTGTATATTTCTGTCAGACTCACAAATGAATGTCCTCCTGGAATGGTATTTGTTTGTACATCGGGGACTTACTGTACTGAGATCAAGTCCTGCTCCAATCACTCACATCCCCCGCCAGAACATCTCACCCCCTGTACACTGTGTTCCCTTTCCTACCTGTCTCCCAACAGACAGTACCTTCACTAAAGATGAGCACTGTTTTGCTGCACCCATAAATCCTAAATACAATCCTATTTCTACAATTCCTCCAAAAATATTTTGTTTTCATGAATTTACAGTATCTGCTCCTACTTCATCCAAGATGTCTTCCCCAAACATCCTAATTCCTTCAGAACTCTCCTGCTTGAATGGTTTTGCTCCTCGTGCATCATGTTTTCAGCTGTTTATCTCACATTCTGCAACACATTCTGCTCTATTTTCTTACTATTTCATGCACACAACTTGTCTCCCCATCTGCATGATAAACTCTTTGTGGAAGAGGTGACCCTTAATGATATCTTAGGTCCCTGGCCATACGTGGACACTGTTATGTTTGCAAGTTTGAAAATAACTGCTGATAAACAAACTAAAAGCTGCTTTATTTTTTACTCTCAGTATGAAACAACTGACAAGCACCTTTCTCCGGATGGCCAATATGTCCCGAGGATTCTGTTTGTGGGTAAGTGAAGGGGACAGTAAGATACACCACACTCTTCCAGTGTGCTGAAAATGCACCCAGCACCCTTTTCTCCCCAGCGTCACCTGCCACTTCAGCACAGTGTGAGGACTAAGGTCCAGCCAGGGTATGAGACATCCTTCATTCTCATTAGGAAAATGGGGACTTTGTTTCCACACATGACTTCTTTGCTAACTTTCACTTTTCACCTTCTGCTACCAGTACATCTGAAAAGGAAGCACCATGCCTCTCATCGGTAAAATGTGCCTTGGTTATAATTCTGCATTGGTTAGGTGATGATTTCGTAAATACAGCAGAGACCGTCCCTGTCTGCTCCTCTTCATGACCCCAGCATGACCCTTTGCTAGGCTCTCAGCAAGTATTTGCTGAATGATTCAGTAAATGTATTGAGTTTGGCCTTGACCAAAGTCATATTGATTTAAGAAAAAAATCTGCAATTAAACTCATTGGATAACAGAGCTGTCTAATCAAGTGGTTCACCAGGTAGTTCATCAAAGTTTACCTTAAATGTATAAAATAGGGAAGAGAAAAAAATTGCAGAGGACCCTCAACTTACAAACTCAATTGGTTCCTGAGGGCTGGTTGTAACTCAGGTTGGTTGTAAGTCAATACAGCTGAGATCTGGATGTCTACCTGGATACACGCTATAGATAACAAGAGGCAGACGCATCTTGTTAACCTAATTAACCCAAGTTGTTCGTGTATGTCATAACTTGAGGGTCCACTGTACTGGGGGGAGGAAAGTTTTTTGTTTTCTGTTTTCTTCTTAAATTCCTTTATTGGTACATTTTAGATATACAATACATTTACATTTATCATTGGGTGTACCTGTACATGATGTATCTTGATTCTTAATTTTTCCCCATTACCTGTGTGCCCTTCACCCCCTGGGGGGAGGAAAGTTTTGTCAGAATTTAGAACATTAGATTTTTTTTCTCTTTAGTACTTCGGATCAAATCTAAATCCAGGGCTTCACTCCCACTAGGCAAGCACTCCACTAGGCCCACACCCTAGAGACTGGTTATGGCCTTATCGGAAAGGAGATCTTGTGTGCTGCTCTTGCCTCCTGAAGGACTTCTTCAAAGAGCATCTTCACCTTCTGGTGCTGAGCACAGCTCCTCTGCAGCTCAAGGCTTCTCTGTTTGGGCTGTGGGTTAGAATCACCTGGAGGCTTTTAAACCCCGCATCTCCCAGACCACACCTGAGACCCAGTAAATCAGAGCCCGGGAGGTGGGACACAGGCAGTTGATGTTTAAAGCTCTCCAGGTGATTCCACTGCCACCAGGGTTGTGAGCCACAGGCAAGTGTTTAAAATGCCATTGTGTTCATTTACTACGCACTCTCCACACCAAGCAGAAGTCTAGTCCTTAAAACTGCACTGAAAAAATAGCTGGGCATGGACTGTAATCCCAGCACATGGGAGGCTGAGGCAGGAGGATCACTGTGGGTTAGAGGGCAGGCTGGGCTACATAGTGAAACCCTGTCTCAAAACAACTGCACTGAACAAGTGAAATTCTGCTTCTGGCAACTTACATCCTTCGATCTTATTCTAACATTCTAAAATGACAGACAGTCCATTCTTGTACCAGCGACAGACTGCAAAAATGCAGATGGTCTTTGGTTTCTCAGTACTAGGGATTGAACCCAGGGCCTTTACACTGGGCTACATCCCCAGGCTTTTTTGTTTTTATTTTGAGACAAGGTCTCACTAAGTCACTGTGTTGCCCAAGCTGAGCTCAAACTGTGATCCTCCTGCCTCAGCTTCCCAGAGAGTGAAGATTACAGAAATGTGCTGCCTGCCAACCCAAGCTGAGCAGATTGTTCTCACATGTCCTCGGCTTCTTTTCAGGATAAGCTTTTAGGATCCTCTAATCACCCTCCAAATGTAAGGAAAGTTTCTAAACCCCTCTATCTTCCTATTTCCCTTTGGGTGCACTTAATGTAACTTTAAGTTACATATAAAATACCACAAAATAGTATTCATACACATGGTAGAAGTCTCTTAAATCTCTATTTTGAAAGTTTGTATTTTAACAAATTAAAAAATAGTGAGGAGCGCTGTGTATTCATCAGCTTTCCCGTGACTGGGACACAGTACCCAATGCCCACAGCTTAAAGGGGAGGTTTAATCTGACTCACAGTTTCAGGAGATTCAGTCACGATCAGCGGCTCCCAGGCAGGAACTGCAGGTGGAAGGGTGTGGTAGAGCAGAGCTACTTAGTTCATGGTGGCAGGGAAGCAGGCAGGGGAGCAGTGCCAAAGAAGAAGGAGTGAGTTACAGACCCCAGGCCACACCTCCACACCCCACCCAGACTCTCCCAGAAGTGCACTCCCGCAATCCCCTGGGCTGCTCCCCAGCCAATCAGATTATTAAGATTAACCATCATGCCGGGCAGCAGAGGCCTGTGATCCTAGCTCGTGGGAGGAGTCTGGAGGATCACAAAAGCAAGCCCAGCCCGGGCAACTGAACAAGATCTTGTCTCAAAATTTAAAAAATTTGGAAAGGCTGGGGATGTAATTGAGTGTGAAAGCCCTGGGTTCAATTCCCAGTACCACACACACACACAAAATTGATAATCACAACGTGCTCGTTTGATCTTGCTTTTCTCAAGGGCTTGCATTCTTTCATTATTGAAAAAGAAAGGCTCAGCACGGTGGCACATGCCTATAATCCCAGCACTTGAAAGGCTAAGAGGATCACTGTGAGTTCAAGGTCAGCCCAACTACATAGTGAGGCCCTGCTTCAAAACCAAAAAAAGAAAAAGAAAACCCAGGCCAGGGATTTAGTTCAGTGGCACACACCTGCCTCGAAAGCACAAGGTCCTGTGTTCATCCCCAGTACAGGAAAAAAAGAAAACCAGCATTGGAGGTTTCTGATTATCTAAGTTGCTCTTTGTCAAATATAAGTATTTCAAAAATTTGCAATAATTGCATGATAGAGAATGCTAATGTTTTCATCAAAACGAAGGAGCCCTCCCCCAGCATACGTCATCCTATTTTGGGGTCACTAGCTAGGAGCACGGGGCTCCTCGCCTTTTCCACAAATAGCACGGCGCTAGCCCCTCACCGCTCACCATGGACCTGGGTAGTGCAGTGCAGCGGCGGGCGCAGCTCCACACTGAGCTTCCCGCACAGGACACGGCTACCACGTAGGCTTCTGCCCTCAGCAGAGGTTACTTGAAAGCAAAACATCTACCCCCTGTCTCTCTGCAGACCCGTCCCTGACGGTGAGAGCCGACATCACTGGAAGGTACTCAAACCGCCTCTACGCCTATGAACCCTCAGACACGGCTCTGCGTAAGTGGCCTCCAGCCTGGGCGGGGTCGGTGCAGGGCCTGTGTTGCCAGTCATGGGACAGCCACCACTCGGGCCGCCAGAAAGCCAGCCTGACCCGCCCTGGCCTGGATCCCCAGGCAAATCACACTTCCGGTTTGTTTGTTTTTAATCTCAGTTGAGGATGAATCATTTAGATCTTTTTCTGTAGGAGGATTCTATGACCACATTACCTGTATTTCGGGTTTCCTCTCAGGCATACAAACCCAACCTGTCACAGAACTGAATGCAGGAGGTGTAATAATCTGATGCCCCCCCCCAACAAAAGTGAAATAATTTAGCCCAGCTTGTTGCTGAATTCGGATTCGATTTAAAGATGGATAGGCAAGAGGACCCAAAAAGTTGCTGTAAATGGAAGAGACAGGAGATGTCAATGGGGGGACATTGACTTCAGTGGGGGGATGCATCTGACTGTGACACCTGTCCTTTTTACATTTTTTAACTTTTATTAGCACACATTTCCAGTACATAATTATTCCATTAATGGTAGAGAGTTGGTGCATGTTCTTAACACATCTCAAACCTTTTTTCGTCCCCTGTCCCACCCCATTCCTCCCTCTCCTGGTCCCCTCACTTGCAAAAGATCCCTCTCTTTTTTTTTGTTTTTATCTTTGTGCTTAGTCTTTCTGGAAAGGAAACTGGATTTTATTCCTAGAAAACAGTTCTGATCAATTGCAGTGGCTGCCTAGAAACTCACTGTCCAGTATCTTAGCCATTAGCCACATTTGCTATTGAATTTTTACATAAAAGTAAAATTAAAATCTCAGGCTCTCAGTTGACTGGCCACATTCCCAGGATTCAGTGCACCGACACTGGACATTGTCATCACCACAGCATTTTCTCCTGGACAGCACTGGCGTAGGACGTAGGACACTGCGGGAAGTAGAGGTGGGACCTGGTCAGCAGGAAAAGCTCCTTGTGACCCATTAGCAAGGTGTCCTGTGGCAGCTGCTAGGCCAGGGGAAGCCATCCAGGTGCTCCCCGTGTTTGTATCTCAGGAAGACTGAACTCTTTAAAGGTGGTGTCTACACCTGGAATACCACAGCGTCCTGTAGAGGAGGCAGTCAGTGAATATTTGTAGTATTCTTGAATGAACAGCTTTGCAGTGCCTATCACATGGGAATCTTATTTCACTAGACCACATACCTTATTTTCACCAGTTTGCTGCTGCTGCAGGGCTAATGATCTAGAAGTCTGGATGCTGGAGCAGCAGTTCCATTATTTCTTAACTGTGTCATCTTGAGCAAATGAATCAACCTCTCTGAGCCTATTTCACCATCTAAAAGTGAAGTACTAACAGAGTATTTGTTAAAGGAATTTATCTGTGTAAAGCACTTGGTTTACTATCTTTATCATTTAAATCCCACCTACTTCTAAAATAATTTGCAGTAGCTGTACACACCTAGCAAGTCCGTATCATGAACATGATTTAAGCTTCACTTCTAAATTAACCAAAATTATTTGCTCTTGATAGAGCTTACAAAGATATATATATTTTTGCGGGGGGGAAGAAGGAGTTGGGAGAAGGCAGATCTGACAAGGAATAAAATACACAAGAGAAATGGATTGTCACAAATACCGTGTCATACAGGGCCAGGGATTTAGCTCAGTGGTTCCGGTGCCTGCCGCACAAGTGCAAGGTCCTGAGAGTTCAATCCCCGGTACCAAAAAATAAAAATAAAATAAAAAAATAAACCATGTCATACATATAACTTTAGAAAAAAATTTACAAGATTACCAACTAGTCACCCTATAATTCAAACCCTGGGCCGGGGATTTAGCTCAGTGGCGCTGCACCTGCCTGGCAAGTGCGAAGTCCTGAGTTCGATTCCCAGCATCAAAATAAATAAATACATAACCCACTGAATGATGACTACAGTACTGAGGTTTGGGAGTTTATTATATCTATTGATGTAATTCATAAGGGCATCTTGCTTTTCCTTTTCCCCCTTTTAGTGTTTGACAACATGAAGAAAGCCCTCAAGCTGCTGAAGACTGAATTGTAGGGGAAAAAGCAAAATCCGCAAGCTCTTCCCTGCATGCCAGGCCTGGGGACTCAGAACCAGAGATGTTAGAAGACTGAAGCAAAGGGCTGGCCACATGCTCATTAGATTATGGTTTTATGTTACAACTGCTTTTCATTCTTAAAATTGGTTTCAGGTATACGTGTGTGAAAACAATATTGTACACTACTGCAGTAAGCCACGATTTTCTAAAAAATAAATCCTTTTGGAGGTACTTAAACTGAAGGTTTTTGCTTTTATTTTTTCCCCCAACTTGATCTTTCAGAGAACAGCTATTTGGCTCATTCAACAAACAGGACCATTGTATACGCACAAAGTTTTCATCCCACCATGTTAAGATGCTTGCAGACTAAGAGTAGGCATGAAATTAATCAATAGAAGCATCAAAGAGCACATGATTAGTGTGGAAGAGTGTGCAGAAAAGCATCGCAAGGAATTCAGCTTCCTAGAGACAACCCTCCTCACCCTGGCCAGACGCTCCTACGCACAACTTTAATTTAGAAATCCAATTTTAGTCCTATTTTGTCCCACTTAATGTTCCCAGGGAAAACCCTGGCAGCCAGCTTTGTCCTTCTCAAGACTAATCTAGTGTGAAGGTCATCCAAAGAACACCTGTCCTCCAAACATACCCTACAGACATCCTGACCACTGGTCTTGTAACAGATTTGATCTCTCAAGGATTCTCGAGTACAGGGCTAGAAGAAATTGTCTGAACCACTTCACTGCCTCACTAACGTGGGACAGACTGGGGGGGGGCGGGGGACAACAAAGGGCAGAAGTCAGAGGTCAATGAAGTCGGGAACAGTTCAGAGAGGGCATGGCTGCAGGCACGGAAGTAGCTTTCACTTTTAACTCCATACTCTGCCTGGCAAAAGTTGCAACTGTGGATTCGCTTCTTTGCCACATATGTAATCTCACATTCATTATTATGTCAAAGTCCTGTGTCACCAGCCACTGACCTCTTTGGTCCCTGGGCTGTGGTTTACACTGCACTCCACATGGACTGTCTCTAGCTCATCTTGGTTAACTTTCCTAGACAGATCCTTTTCTGAACAGTGTTTTGACATTAATTTTCTCAGGCTAAATAATGTATTTTCAATGCTTTTCTCTCAATATCACCAGTGCGTTTCTGAGCACTCACTGTTGACTTCACAACATACAAATCCTAAGCTAGAATATCACCGGGAACATGAGGTAACCCACATGTACTGAAAAAAGTAAAACATTCCACTTAGAAAGCTCACTGAAGCCAAATGGGGAAAAAAGAGGCTTCACTTCAAAAACAAATACTTTGAGTGACAACTTAGAGGTGAATCAAGTTTCTTTTATAGTACAGCAAACTGTTTACTTTTCCACTGGGCTGCTATAATATTGTTAGGTCCTTAAAAATGTACTCAGTGACCAGAAAGCAAGGTACAGATATTTATACACCCATGCTCCTGGCAGCATTATTCACAATAGCTAAAAGATGGACGTAACCCAAGTATCTGTCAATGGACAAATGGGTAAACAAAGTAGGGCACATATAGATACTGTGGAATATTGTTCCACCTTTAAAAAGCGGGAAATCCTGGCATGTGTTAGAATACGGATGAACCTTGAGGACATTAGGTGGGCTAAGTGACATAAGCAGGTCACTAACGGACAAATACTGTCAAATTCTACTTTTATGAGGTAATTTGTTTTCAGAGAGCCAGAGGGAGGGTGAGAAAGAGAGAATGGGGAGTGGTAGTCATCAGGCCCAGGGAAGGCAGAATGGAGAGTTAATTGTTTAGTGGGTGTGGAGTTTGAGTTTAGGAAGATCAAATGTTCTGCAAATAGATGGCGGTGATAGCTGCATAATATAAGTGTCATGGAACTGTACATTTAAAATAGTTAGAATGTGATGCTATATAGTTTTGTCCCAATAAATATTTTTCTCAGTTTTACCTGATCTTCCCCATAAATTATGAAGAAAAAAAAAGAGGAATTAATTTTTTTTTTTAATGCTGGTAACATAAATCATCCATAAAAGTCAACTGTGCAGACCGTCAACTGGCTTGGTGAAGCCATTTCCACCTATTTGAGAACAAGAGTTTTCTTCAAATGATCACCTCTGTCTGCCTGTGTTGTCTGGGCTCTTCTCGAATTCAGTAATCCTACAAAAACCCTAAGGTCCTCCTCTTAGTGACCACTGGTGCAAATAGGAGATGGACAGAAAAGCTCTAAGAACAGAATTATCTTCAGGACAAAAAGCCAGACTTCAGGTCCGGTCAAGTCACCCGACTTAGGGAAGGGCCACCTGCCTACTTGCAGGAGGTAAAACACCAAAAGTAAGCAACATAAGCAAACGAGGCTCCACCCTTCAAGATATGCCAGAGTCCACTCTGCCACATATTTAACTCGCCAGCAACTCCCTCAAGCCCTCATCTGCAAAGGAGTTCCAGAAGCTGGCTTCTCTCAGGACAGGAATAAGAAGTGGCCTGGCATCTGGCAGGGCAGGCTGACTGGCCCCTTTCCCATTGTCGCTGAAGTATTTCAATAAGAACAACTGCTCAGTTGTGAGATGACATTTGCTTCTTTTTTGTAAGAAACTTTTTGTTTTATGTCTTGCATTCTGAGTAACTACTTTGAAAACAGATGATACACAGTGTATTAACCATTGTTATTCTATTACTTTGTTATGAAATTTTATTTTTTCATAAAATAAAGTTTAAAAAGAAAGAACAACTGCACAGTCCTGTCTCACTACCCCTCTTTCTCTCATCAGGTAAAGGACAGGCTGCCCCCTTAAAACATACTCAGCCACACAGATTGTAGTATCATTCGGCATGGGGAGCCTAGTATAAAATCATCAGCCACTCTCAAACATAACAACTTCATATAAATCCCCTCCCAATCCAGAAAGCTAGAAAAGTTGGTCTTTAACTTGCTGTCATTCCTTTCTTTTTTTGTTGTTTTGTGGTACCAGAGATCGAACTCAGGACCTTGTGCTTGTGAGGCAGGTGTGATGCCACTGAGCTAAATCCCCGGCCCCATTTCTAATAAAACAAAACCATTCTCGTTTGAGTGATCATGTCCACACTGTCACAATGAGCACTTTTCTCACATGAATGCTACGTAAAAAAGTGGCTCTTTTTCCCTACTTTTGGAGATAAAAAAAAAGTAAAACTGTTTTCATGCATTTAGTGTATTTTCAGAAGAATAAACAAATAGGATTAAGCAAATTTTAGAAAAATTGCAGCACGCAGACTGGACCCCAGAAGCTGAGGTCTGAATGCCACACTTCTGGTTTTGTCCCCCTGAAAGGTTCCATTCGGCACACATTATTAAGGTCGAACATGCCGCACTTGGTCTTCATACCAAACAACCGTTGCTCACATAACTGAGGATCTGAAATGAACTGAAGCCACAGTGAGCTCTGATTTTAGAAATTATAGTCAAACCCTTTTTTCCTTTCTATTAGCATGATTTTCTCAGCTAAAATTTCACCTTCAGCATCAAGGCTAACCTGAAGAAATGTTCTAAGGAACATTCCTCTAAGTATGTAAACAGGGAATCAGAATTTTTTTGCAATTCCTTTTTCAACACACGTTGAGATTTGGATGGAAGGACACTTAGAAGATGTTGGGTTTGCCTTATAGCCATTTGTGGAAATTCTAGACCCTGTGTGGAAATTGTCACAGTATTCTTGTTCCCACAGGCGGGGATCAGCTTATCTGAAAGCTCACAACAGGGCCATTCAAGATTCAGGATGGATGCGTTCGGGGCCCTTTCCAGGGCATCATAACATGCTCAGGGAGTAGTGTCTGCACTCAGACACAAGACATGTCAGAGAAGGGCAGGGTAATCCATTCCCTTCAGATCTGCCAAAGAGAAAACCCAGATTCACTTGTCCAGGCTGCCATGGTGCTGGTGCCTGAAAATGTACTCATATATGTCTCGAGCAACTAATCATCAGTTACTTAATAACCCATTCGTAAAATCATATGGTTTAACAGCCCTAAAATTCATCCTGCCCAGACTGATTTTTAACTGGGTTAACCCAAATAAAACCACTGCGATTAGAACACAAACCAAGGGTATGGGCTGGTTCTCTCTAGAATAGACCTTTACACACATAATCATCTGTACCAGGAAAAGTATTATGTTAGGAGATTCCAGACCCTTACAAAATTTTGAAATGTAAATGACAAATAGGGAAAATATAGAGTGCCTTGAAGGAAGACAGAAACTTTTCCCTTCAAGTGTCTCTGAAGATCTTATCTTTGATATAAGTTGGAAGGAACACTGTTAGAATTACCCTAGAGCTCAGTAAGACATTCTGGAAACAGCACTGTTCTGTGTTTTGTTTTCTTCGAACATTAGCTACTACCACAGAGTCACAGAGGAGACATACCTACAAAACTCTCTAAAACTCTGCAGATCAGCCATTTGCCATCTTTCTTGATCTAAAATCTAACCATCAGAAAGTATCACATAAAACCTAGAATGCAAGATAAGAAATCAGTGATATTTGGTAGTTGGAAAGAACTTACATATTTTTCCCAAATAAATATGAATTACTTCCCTTTAAAAAAAAGAAGAGAAAAGAAAAACAATTTTCTCACAATGAGGACAAGATTAACAACTGAAATATTTCAATAAATGATTTTGGGATAATTACTATTTACTAGTACAGAAATTTCACTTTCATGGCTTGATTACACTAAAATAGCAACACCCAACTTAAGTCCATCAAGGAGAAACTAAAGCAGAAAAAAAAAAAAGAATTCCACCTAATTTAATTTATCAACTCTTCCATTATCTTCTCTTAATTCAAACATGGATACACAAAGAAAGGTTTCTATCTTTTAATTTTTTAACTTAATATACAGAACCACAACACTATTCCAATTTCAAATTATGGACGATATCACATTCAAATATGCTTGAATTTGA